CTTCCTTTTGACATATCGTTGTCTATATTCCAACATGTGGTTTGAGGTAAATACTGTATATATTATCATAATAACTTTGGTGGCGACCGTAAGGTTGGTTAGTGCTATGGACAAAAGCGGCAACCTTCTCTCACAGTCCCTAACGCACGCTCCAAACAATTCTGTTATACAATATCTCGCTATCACTACTCTTCTCATATTATACCCCTGGGACCAGTATGGGACTGGAGAGGATGTGGAGGGAGGGAGGGAGGGAGGTGAGCGGAGGGAGGTATGTAAGATGGATTTTCAAGTTCCTCCTTTCCAGCCCCGAGAGACCTTTGGTTTGTGGTCGTGTGTCACCTCGCTGCCAAGTATCGTCAACCAAGGACTATACGAGGTTGAAAGAATCCAGTTGTTCGGCGGCACACGGTGTGCTGCGGTTTCCTCCTTTCCAGTCCCCCTCCCTCCCTGCGAGCGCCACCAAACCTTCCCCTCCAACCCCTTACTCTCATTACTTCCGCTCGCATCCTTTCTTCTATACCCCATTAACCTTTTTTCACTCTCCCCTTTACTGACAGTTATGCATTACATCCAGCAAAGTTGACCTTAGGCCCCTGCCAACCTATCAGGTAGTTCTTCTGTCCCTGTTGCTGTGTGCGGTCCTGGCTTTCTCTTCACGTCATACAAACGATATTTTTTTGTTTTTTCCAGTTCATTAATGTTTTCTTTTTGCGGGAGCCTGTTAATCTCTCCTTCTGTTTTCCCTTTCCTTCTCCTTCTTTTCCTTGTCCGTCTTCTCCCCCACCCTCCTTCCTCCCCTTTCTCTTCACTTATAGTCCTTTTTATCTTTTTGATATATTTCTTCCTTACGTTTAAGTACCGTTGACACTCTTCTCTATCCCCCACTTTCTTGTAACCTTTTAGATGTTATTATATATCTTCTCCCTTTGCCTCCCCGCCTTCTTCCTCTTTTTCTTCATCTGTCTTGTCTTTGTTGGATGAGGCGCGGGTCACACGCGGGCGCCTGTGGCCCCGTCCGGGACCGGTACCAGGGACGCTAGGAAACGAAGGGGCGAAGGGTGGGCAAAAACTTAAGCAGTTGCGTGCTTAAGAGCAATTTCGGAAATAGTTACTACGATGTTTTGGGGGTGCACATTTCTCTGCCTAATAATGACCTTGGGCTCGTGTGATTAGTCTTGTACATGTTTATCCACATAAATATGTAAGTGACATATTATACCAATACACATCGCAATTACGAGTGGAGCCGGAAGTGTCCAGACCGCAAACTACCCAGCGACTGTATGTTAGAAGCCTTGTTATCCTTACAAACTCTGTTTACTCCGCTGTGACTGTTTACCTTTTTTTTACCGTCTACTTCATACTGGGTTTCCGTTTTATTCTGCTTCTTTCTGACCATCTCTTTACTCGTTTTGTTTCTTTTGTCGTCCCCTCTTTGTATTATCTAGTGTTACAATGTGTATTGGTTTGTGGTTATTTAATGTAAACATTATAAGCGTGCCTAATGTTACAATCATAACTAGGTGTTAAAGGTTTTAATGGAGGTAAGAGCTAAAGCAGGCTATCACATGTATGTAGGTGAGAGAGTGATGATCGTAAATCATTGGTGTACTGCCCCTGAGGCAAGCTAGACACTGTTCCACAACCCAATAAATTGGTATGCTACTATGTGACATCTATTCCCACTGGTAACTTGTTTTCCTATCTCTCCCGCCCGAAAGTTAAGTATGTACCACACCATATTGTGGAGGCCAGGTTTTGTGACAAGGCAACTCGCTGCCAATCTTTTCCTCTTTCCCCCTAATCCCTTCGCTCGCTTCTTCTCAAAGGAAAAGAATCTTAATCTGCCTCAGTAATAATCTGTTTTACAACACTTAAAAACCAACCTGGTACCTGGTTTAATTCCCCAACTACTGCGTATCCCGGCAACAGCATACCAACTTGTTGCCGCAGCCCTTGTCACAAAGGTGTTGGCAAACCCACACACATCCAACTGGACCTAATTATTGCAGCTGTTTTAATTACTGGCCATTTGCGCATGTCTTTTGGTCACACACAGGGAACCACGTGACCATTTCTGTAAGTAGCCTTGATATTTTTGTTGTTGCTTCGATTGCCAGCCAAAGGCATTCAAACCATTTCGGATGGGATATCAAAACCTAGCAATATTATGTACAATGGGCCTTTTAGGAGAGCAAGTCGGTCATGTTTCAATCAGCTAGCCACGACAATGCCATATAAATCACGCAACTTGAGCAGCTAGGTTGGTGTTCATGTTTTCGCGGGCCCAATGATGCACCTCCGGATTGAACAAATGTAACTGGTGAAGTGGCTATGTATGCTCTCAAGATTCTATCCTTCTTAGCGTTTTCACCCAATTCCGATTTGTCCCTCCATCAGGGTCAGTCAAACGACAAAGTGATGGTGTGTAATTCTTTGAGACTCTGCAATACCGCTGACCCTGCCACCCACCCTTTGCACCCTCCTACCCGTCTCTCCCAGTCTCTCGCCCTAGCAACTCGCCTGGGACTCGTCCCCCCCCGAGTCCTCAATACCTTCAACAGGTGGGGTAGCAACTACTGACTACTGTAGGTGTTAACCCTCGGCGAGCAGCTCGTGTAGGTTTATCTGAACTCTGTGGTCTCAGTTCTGCGTCTTTCTGTTAGTACCCTTAGCAAGCCACATACATATAATATTCCAGAGCCTCCCATAAACCCAATACTCATTTATATGTCCTTTAATACTACCTACTAGCGTCTACACCTGTTACCTCCGTGGTCACTATAAACCAATCGAATCGCACTGTGGTGATATGAACGCCTGTCTGGGCACTAAGGCCTCACCACATTAATGCAACGTTCAGCCATAAGTATTACATTCGTCGCGCGAGCGTCCGACCTGCTACGGGGCGAGCACATAAGAAAGGCCTAAAACGCGCGTTCCGCGCTCTCTCTCTCGGACGCTTTCTCTTGTGTGTTCTTCTGGTGGCTTACGTGCCATTCAGCGTATGCGACTTTGGGGCCTTTCAGTGCTATATATCAGGGGCGACTGCAGTGAGCCTGTCTTTAGACACACAACCATAACAAGTTCCAAGCTATTCATAATTGTCTATTATGCACATAGTGCCGCTATCGCCAATTCAGGCGGATACTGTGGAGGCACCAAGTTATCGTCCTCGTTATGGAGGATGAGTTCAATTCTAGTGTTTTAAGTTCTAACTACCCATGATACCATTTTTATAGTGGAAATCCGGGCGATTAGTATACCTTGGGGCATGGAGGCCATCAATAGTTGGTGGTGCTATTTTGCACTGTGTTTTGCATATAAGACCCTTGTCCTTTTGGTGCTGGAACAAGTCTGGTCGTTTTTTGGTTTGTTTCCAGAATATCTGGACGAGAGATAGTTGCCTACTCCACAAATACCCCCACTTCTGAATTTTCGGAACTCTTTCTGTCATCCATGGCTACAGGTAACCGTGTGAAATTAGGTCCTCTCGGCCCTTCAGCCTAGCACGTCTTCTCTCCCCTCTCCTCCGCCCTCTCCGATCTCCTTCCTGACCCCTCTGCCTGCCCGTTTCACTACCCAGAACATGTAAATTGATGCCGCTGTTTTGTGTTCTGAGTACTCTCTTCTCCACATTCTAATTGGACACATGTCTACATCCACTGAGAACTACCCCGGACGCTCTCTGAATGAAGGTAAGTCAAATCTGCCAGCACAGTCCACTAACTCGCTAAAGCTAACCCGGTCAAAATCTGCCTCGTCATCAACAACGGGTGTGATGCAGTCTAAAGCTAGTTGGTACGTATCAACAATTCAGTTCATAATTCACAGATTTGTTCGGCACCGAGGAGCTTTTGGCCACAGTTCTAGCTGTGCTATTCGGTGTTATTAGCTTCACGCGTCAGCACCTTGTTCTTAGTTCATGGTTTAAATTTTAAAAAAATCAAGGGATTCCCCCATGCCTTTGACTAGTGCACTAATTGCAGCAGAATTATGAAAAGTGGAAAGGAACAGTGCAGCTTTTTAAGGTTTGAGAAAATCCACAGAAAAGTGTTTCTATCTATAGTGGGAATAAGGACCTATTTAATTTATAATGGAAACTAGTTTGAGTTTCTCCCACTGTGATACCGTTGGGTTGTCCCTGCAGTCCACCCTCCCTGTTCTGGCTGCTTTGCGCCTTACGGCTTCTTTGTATGAATTACTATCCTTAAGCGAGTTCATTCAGAGACTCTGTACATGTGACCCCAGGTCCTGACCGTAGCCAACAGCCCTCTAACTATCCCTAGCTACCCTACCCTCATGGAATAAAAGTATCCCGCACTAACTACTATGATGTAATTTGAGTGTCACATGCCAATAACAATTAGTCCTGTTACCATAATGTTTTTAGTAATGGGGTACGTATGCTCTATAGACTTGAAAACAAAATGGCCCAAATGTTTCAATCGGAAACACCGCTTTTACATGCTACATTCCACTTGCACTTCCCACCATTCTACACTATAAGAACTCCCTCCCATCTCATATGAAGTGTATGAATTCTCTCTCTTTGTAGGTAGCGAATGGGCAGAGGAAAGACAATTGTGTCAGGCAAGCAATTCATTTTCAAGCGCAGAGACTCTGCCAAGAGCATTCAGAGGTGGGAGAAGCTAGAACAAGGTTATAGAGGTAACTTACCGAGTATTTGATGTATTTTTGTAGATGGTGAAGTGTCTCTCGGAAACCCGCGTACATTGCAATGAAAGGGTATGAGTCACTCTCGGACGGGTGACGCCGGCTTGCGTGTTGTTTTGGATGTAAGAAGATAGGTGATTTGAAGTTTAATTTCTTGACTGATGTTATAGTTCTAGAAGAGCTCTTTGAGCACATGCTGATTAAGGTTTCCCCATTATCTTCAATACCTGCATATAAGAAAGAGATTGGAACACAGACATTTAAGAGAGATATTTTTGTGTATCCTTACAGGTACAGAAAGTCTTTATGGAAGACACAAGCACCACTCTCTGACATCTGGCCAGCCTGTTCCCAACCCACCTTCTTTCTCCGTCCACGAACAAACTGTGCCCTCGAAACGAACAAAGACAGAACCACGGCAACCCTCTTCCTTTGACAGTTTCTCTTCCTCCCATCGTCTCCCCTCTCCCAGACTCCGAGAACCCCAGCATTGGTCACATGATAGTCATGTGGTCCCCACATATGACCCCCATAAGTCACGTGACAGTCAGGTGAGATCACATGATCCATCAAGCCACACCCCTTCCCAGCAGTTCAGTCAGTCTTACGATGGAGGCAGGGGTTGTCAACAGTACTCAGTGGACCATGGAAGATGGAGTGATGTGGGGACAGGTACCACCAGATTTTCTCCTCACGTGTCACGGGCAATGTCTGAAAGAGGAGCCGCAAGACCTCTAACTTCAGCTCCAATTTCGCAACAACGAAGGGGGTCGTTGGGGGGATTTTCCGACGAATTCAGCCCCCTTTCCCGGAATCTTCCCAGTTCCCCTGCCCATAAAACGAGCAGTGATATGACGCAGTCACAATCCAGTGTGAGGTATTCTGAGAGTCTTCACTCACCGCATGTTCACCGAATGGGGCGGAAGAGATCATCTGGTGGCACCAGTGACAGCGACGGGAAATCGGAGCAAAGACTGGCGACACTGAGTACCAGCGGCTCCTGCCAGACGACAGCCAAGAGGAACACCTCACCCATCGAATTGAAACTGAAACCTCCAGTGAACCGAGACCAGATAAACGGGCTGGTGTGGTGCCAGTGGATGATGAATACTGCAGACTCAGAGAAGGCAGTGCACACGACGTTAGACAAGTTCTCCGTCGACCGCAGCTGAAGATCAGGTCATACGAGGCATCGCGGAGGACACTACGAAGACCGTCGGAACAGGTAGAGTTTCGGAGAGCTTCCAGTCTTCAGCAGAGTTCAGGGTCCAGCACGGTCTCAAATCTACCTCCCAGACAGTGCCACTCTGATTCCGAGACCAGAGTGGGTGCTGTCAGTCTCCATTCCAGTCCACGTCTTCCCCGGGCCCTGCCGTCCGATTACCGCTCTCCTCAGATTTTCCGAAACACTCCTCCATGGAACTCAATCGGTACTAACACCACTGGAAGGGAGCATCCTCACACCACCCTAGCTATGTCACTCGGGGAAGAAAGAAGAGAGAGGGAAGAAGAGAGTTCTCACCACAGAATGGAGGAAACAGAGGGAGACAAGGAGGGGGAGGCCAGTGAGCCAATGCAAGTGTCGCCAGTAACAACCCACACTTTCGAAATGTCTGACAAACTGAGCGACGTTTCAACCAGTGCCCAGGTAGGAATGGCAATAGCTGCTGGAGATACTACCTCTGTACCAGTGAGTGTCGTAAGTGACCCAGGCCTGGTTGAGAATGTTTCTCTGGGCACAGTGGAGCACTCTGTTTCTGGGCAGCGCGAGAGGTTTGAGGAGGCAAGGAACCAGTATCAGGTGAAAATGGAGTGTGAGACTCAGACAAGAGACACCTTTGGCCAGGAGAACCGCTCTGACAACCAACTAGCTCAGCAGCAGTACAGCACTGCAGCTCTCAGATCTGACTTTGAAGCTGGTACACAATCTGCGGTTGCACCATCTACTCCTCAGTGGACAGGAGAACAACAGATTGCATCATCAGGTATCGACCAGTCCCAATGTAACATTCCTCGAAATCCTACGACTGTGTACAGTGGTCCCCACATCATGTCTCCCATTGCGGAAGTAAGTCAAGAGTTCAGCACGCAGCAAACGGCCACTCAAACCTTCTCGGCCTCTCAGACGCAACACACTCAGTTCACTCAGAGTATGCATTCCCTGTCTCCCCTTCCCGAGTCAGAATTGAGGAGAGGTGGCTCTCCGTTTCGTCACGATGCTCTGGGCAATGCTGTCTCCACAGTTCTCTCTCCACCGAGTGCTGTGAGCGACAATACTAATCCCAGCATCACCTCCCAGGTTGCTAGGGTTGTCAACAGAGCCAATATGCCACAGTTGGAACCCCCAAGCACCAGTAGCGACACCTCACACAGCCTGACGCGGTCGTCTGAGGTCGATTCAAACCAGCAGAACCTTCCACCTGGCACTGGATCTGCTGATTTCACTTTGTTTCCTGGGCAGAATATGGTGGCATCAACTACACAATCTAGTGCTGCGATGTCAGCTCAATTTCTTTCTCAAAATCTTCCCCAAACTTCGGAGAACTTGCCCGAGAGACAATCGCAGTCTCAGGTCCCTCCCACACAAGAGCCAAGCAGTGCATCGTTCACTCCTGCCACAGCTGCAGCCCAGAGCCAAGGAACCCAGGATATCCCCGAGTACCATCACCAAACAACACCACCCTCACGAGAGGAATCTCAGTGTAGGTCTCTACACAACCCTGGAGTCTACCAGAGTGCTGTGTCAGATGGCAGTAGGGAAAGGTATGGAGGATGGCAGTCATGGAGTACAGCCAGTGCCCCTCCGTCTGGTTTTGGAAACTTTCACAGGAGAAATCGGCGATCGGCTTCCCCAGCTAACACTCATGCTCCCAGTGTTCTCAGCGATAGCGTGGCTGTACATTTCCGCGCGGCTCAAAAGCAGGCTTCAAGCGAGTTGGGAGATTCGGGGAGCCACCGTGGATCAGGACGTCGAAGACACCACCATCGCGGGAGTCTTGGGTCTTCCAGCAACGGCTCCAGACACCATCACCACGCAGCGCAGAGACTCTCCCAAGATCTTGAAATGATGACTCGTGCCATTGAAGGGATGGACTCTGGGAATCTGATTGAGGGAGACAGATCCATTGCAAGGGAAGAGGGACGCCGTTTGCACTCTCCCTCTCCACCGCAGTCGGTCCCGCAGACCAATCGGGCAGTCAGTGGAGGTGCTCCAACTAGACTGAGCTCTAGTTCCGGGTTAGGTTACCGAGTAGTTATCAACGCTCTCTCGCCACCTGGACAGCCCTCACTGGCTACTGGTAGAGCAGGACTGTCTCACACGCACCCAGACTTTCTCTTCCGCCACTCTCCAAACCCTCCAAACTCCCTCACCAGCCTCTCTCAGATTCCGCCCAACAACGATAGTCCCGACATGTCGAGGTCCGATTGCGTCACGCAGAACCTGGCGCAGTCTGTGACACCGCTTACCCAGGGAGGAGAAATCGTACCTCTTTCTCCAGTTCAGTTCCCAGTGTCAATACATATGGAGGAACAGCATAGAGAGGTGGTTATCCCTCCACCTGCACCAGGGGCGGGCTCCTCGGAATACCTTCCTCCCTACTCCCCTCCGAGGCAGGGAGAAACTCAGGCAAGTCAGAGAGAAACTCAGGCAAGTCAGAGAGTAACTCAGGCAAGTCAGAGAAACACCACAACTGTTGTCAGAGAAGACCAGCCACTCTATCGGGATCCTCCCCCCAGCTACGAGGAGATATTCGGACAACATGGTGGGCGGAGGCAGCGACAGAGGCAGCGGCGTCCCTCGAGGCAGTCGAGACGAAGAGAAGACGAAGGGGCGGCACAAGCAGTGGGGGGTGAGTCACAGAGCCAGCAGGATCCGCCAACCACTCACAGACACTCGCGTTCCTCAGGGCATCGCAAGCTTCCATCTCTCACAAGCCTCTTCAAAAGAAGTCGAAAACACACCAGCCACGATCCGCAAGCAACTCACTCCACATCTCGCACTAGCAGAGCCCAGTCCTCAGACCGCTCCCCTCAATTAGCTCCGCCTTCTCGCCAACAAGAGGAGGTCCCTCGAGAGAGATCACAACTCCCGATAGAAGATTCTCCTGAACCTTCCACTCTCGAGAGAACAGCCAGTTGGGTTGCCTCATACAGCCAGACCCCGAGACCAATAACGGCATACCAGCAACTGGAGAGAGGATTTCGAGAGTTTTCGGGTAGAGATGAGGTTTCCTCGTCTGTTAGCGCTGGAGGGAATGCTCCCCATTCTTCAGCTCACTCCCATGTCTCTCGAGCTGTCAGTGACACAGCTGCTGCCATGGCGCTGCGGCAAAATTCCCTCTCATCTGTGTCACACTCCCAGCCTACGCACCACATCCACCAGCTTGGCCTGCCCGGCCTCCCGTCTTACCGCCACCCACCTCCCTTCTCTCTAACTTCATCTCGTGATCCTTCCCTGACACCACACCAGAGGCTCGCCAACTATACTCTCGGCCTACAAAACTCTAACACTCAACCTTCCAGAGATTCCCTAGGTCACAGCTCTACTCAGCAAGACGCCCATTCAAGACAGCCAGGGTATGCTCTAAGCCCTCAAGACACCACAACAAGGCTACCAGCAAGTACCCAGGACTCACAACCTGTGCGCATGGCTGGTCATTCTAATAGTCAAGACTCCAGCCCACAGCAACCAAAACTGGGTCCTGTAGTACATACTGGTTCTGCCACTCAACAGACCCGCCATGCTCCCAGCCCTGTTCCCTCCCACTCTCGCTCTCTTGCTGCTCGCCCCCACGGTCAAACCCTAAACCTCTCTCTACCGACCATAAGCCTCAATTCAACGAGTCATGGAGGTCGTGGTGATGCCAGTTCTCCTAGTAGTCCCCAGCAAGTCCCAGTGTTTCACAGGGTCCTCGCACACCCACCGAGAACAAGACCCATTTCACCTCTTGTCACATCTGCCGAGTACGTTCGAGGAGTTTCAAGTGTGACATCAGTTACGTCCCCAGCTAGTACTGATCCTAGTGAAGCAAGGGCTGTTCTTGCATCGGCTGTCGAGCGCCTCAGAACCCAGCAAAGTACAGAGTCCCTGCGGGCCGCCCCATCTTCTCACAGCCAGCAGGAGGTTAGCAACGCCACTCCCAGACAGCTCTTTCTCCCCTGGCAACTCGACGCACGGGCCAACAATGATGGAGGCCCTCTTGGAGCGAATGGCAATGCCAACAACGATAAGCCACCACCAAATTCGTCTCAGAATTCGCCCAATGCCACCCCAAAGAACAGCCCAGTGTTGGAGAGGCGCGTCACGACAACAGGACCGGGAGAGACTGAATCGAGTCAGCCCCTGCAATCTCAGAACAAGACGACGGAGAACGGAGCCTCACAGGACGGAAACAAAACGGATTTAGCCAGCAATGCCAGCAAAGGCGGTGGAGAAGGGAAGCAGTCGCGAAAATCTACGCAGCGATCGAGGGCTGCCTCGCGCCGCCTTGCACAGCAGCTGAGCAGCTCAGATGAAGAGCTGGCCGAACGATCTTCTTCTTCTTCCTCTCACTGTCGACCGAGACATCGACGTAAACGAGGCAACAGCAGCTCGCGATCCAGCAGTCGACAGGAGAACAAAAACAACTCCCTAACTGGACCTGATAACACTCAGGCCCCCGAATTCTTTCCCTCATTTCAGTCCCAGCCAACTGAACTGCCCCAAGACGGTTTATTTTCCACCGTCTCCAGCGATCTAACAGCTCAGAGTACCATCACCTCAGTGGTGTCACGTGACAGTCACATGACCGCTCACCAGAGATCACATGACCAGCACCAACAAGAACCGCAAGAAATTGTATTGACTCAAGTACAGGAGGATGCTTCGCCAGAACCCCAACCATCTGGGGGATCACATGACAATACAATAGAAGTGTCACATGAGAACCCGATTACATCACCAGCAGCCAGGAGCAATGAACGAGTATCAACTCCAGAACCACTACAGGACACCGCTGTGCCGCCAAGACAAGAGGAGGTGCGATCACATGATCCAACCAGTGATGTCACAGCTGTTGATGTTGTTCAAATCAACAATGGTGGTGCAGCTGGGACCAGGGACCCAGGTGAGACAATGTCTTGTTCACTGGTTAATGCTGTAACCCTAGTTACGTACCTTGTTCACAACATACAGCACAATGTCATAGGATTGTAAAAGTCCCTATCTGCCCTTCTCTGCATAAGAACATTATGGGTGCTTGTTTTGCTGTTACTTCAGTTTGCCTTGTTACAAATGTATGTCATAGAGAATAGCCTTATACATTATACTTCTGCATGCGCATCACCAATACAACCCATTCCTACCCTCTTTAGTCACCCCAGTCCCGGAAGTCCCAGAGTCCACTCGTCACCTCACCAGTTCCCCTCATCACTCCACCACCTCCACCATCTCTAAACCATGCGGCCACCTCTGTGCAGCCAATGGAGACAGGGACACCTGCTGTCAGTGTGTTGACTCCTCCCACCTCGTCACCCAGTGCTGTGACATCTGTGAGAGGTATAATATAGAGCTCTTCTCTGTAGATTCTGGGTGTTTACAATCTTCTATGCATGAATTTCAGCGGTTTTGGCTTTAGCTCAATCTTTTTCTCTATCCTCAGTCGTAGGTCTCTGGGTCAGGTGTGTAGCTGTGCTCCCAACAAACCAAACAAGTTCTGTCCCGTACACAGAGGTCGGGCGGGGAGGTCCCTCCCCACTCCAATTGACGCACGCCATCAGCCCTCCCACCAACAACACAGTCGCAAACACATCAAGAACTGTATAGTCATGTAGAGAAATTTTTCTATTCTGTGTGTTGGTAGATTTTGTATGTATATTATACCGTTTTTATGTTCCGTCGCCTGTTAATAGCAGCGCATGCGTAACAGGAGTTCCACCCACATTATTATTCATAATGCACACGCGCGCGAAGATTGTTGGGGGTGGGGCTCGTAGTTGCTCTGCCCACGCTAGCAACGCAGAGTTGAAGCGAATCTTGACTCCAGCAGCAATGGAAGGAGAGCCCCAGGAGACTAGCGTGGAGGAGCAGCTACTGGTTGCCTGTCAGAATGGTGACGCCGACACGCTCCAGCGGTTGATGACGTCAGTGCTCGGGCTGGATCTCTCTCTGACGACGGAGGACGGAGCCACTCTCATTACTAACACTGTCATTGGAGCAGGTCAGAGCGGTGCACCGTCTCATGCGCTTCCTAACACCTCTGCTAGCGTTCATTCATTGATATTTGCTTCTGCATGCTTCGGTCCTTGTTTTTGACATGACATCATAGCTGGCTAGTATCATTCACTGTGTCTGTGGTGGTATAATAATTATTCCACTTGACTTGCAAGCTATGAACCTGAACTATTGATTCCTCTCCAAAAAGGGAAACCATCAGCAGTTACCAAGTGAACCTATCTATATACGCTGCAGCGTTGCCCCATTTGTTTCAGCAAATTAACCGAGCAGGGTACATAAGGTCAAGTAAACAAAGACGCGACACACACTACAGAAACAGCAAACAACTAAAAAAAGCAGCAGAAAAAAGGTTCTGATGACTGGCTTTGTCCGCTTTACTCTTCTTTCGCTTCTTGCCCATCCTGGGCAGTAGTGGCAGCATCTGAGGTCTCCATCTTATTCTCCCCCTCTTGCTCTCCCTCTTGTTTCCCCTCATGAGGGTCAGAATACCCCCAGTACATGTGGTATCCAACTGGCCCCACTACCGTTCGCTTCCCATACGGACTCTCGAAAGTCTGTGGCTCCCAGGATCTAAACTGTTGCATGTGCCAACTCGGTTTCCCTGTCTCTGCGACTTGGGCATCTCCACCGCTAGTTTCCTTTGGCTGGAGTGACTGTCGCCTCTCCATGGTCTCTTGTATCTGCTCCTCCACACACGCGCATCGATCTTTTTTTACCATCCGCGAGGGAGTCGTCTGTACTGTCTGTTTGTTGTTACTCTATATCTCACTCCTCGGAACGTCTGTTCGTCCCAGAAACGATACAATCTACCCAACGGGCGACGAAGGTCAGAAAATAAAGGCGGTTTTCTCTGAAAACGCTCCGTTGCTAAGCTAGAGCGGGAAAAAGCCAATATGCAACGGCTTACTACGGCATGATGGATCCGCATGCTATGCGTACCTCGGAGGGCACCAGGAAGATGCAACGCAGGGCGTGTATCGCCTCTCGCGTGCTATCTAGTAGTGTAGTTAGCCCGCGTGAGACTCTGCGTGCGCGAGCTGGCAAGAGACCGCGAGTACTACCCATCAATTAGTGGTAATGCGCATGCGTTTACTTACGCGCGCGCGTCACAGTTCGCCGAGGGTTTGCACTTGCATTTACCATTCAAGTAATGGTGGATTGTCTGATGGATAAGCACCCCGTCTCTTGATCGTGAGGTCCCTGGTTCGATCCCGGGGGTGTGCCGCTTTTTTTAATAGGAGTGTTGGCTGTTGGTATAAATGGAACGTTTTTTCATCACCTCTCCAGGCCAGCCCGAGTGGCTAGGTGGTTAGAGTCGTGGGGACTGACACCATAGGTGCCGGGTTCGAATCCTCGATCCCACACTAAAGTGTCAGGTGGTCCAGAGCATTGGCTGGGAACAGCTCTGGTTCCTCCCCTTACCCACAAATCTACCACTGACCCACGTTTCTCAAAGGGCAGCGTATAGTTCGGCATTGCACTGCGTCCGTAGACGTCTGTCTGGAGAGATGAAGGGCTGGGCCGTTTTTTTTTCAACCTTGGGTTTTAAAATTTTTTATTGCACTAAACAATCCACGGGTAATACGAAAATTAATAGAGAGATGAAAGGTTGGCAATTTTTCGACGTGTATTTTTTGGGCCTCAAACAGATATAGGGCTGGCCATTTTTTTTCACCTATTGATAATAATCCATGGAAATGGTGCTGTTCTCTTTGATGCATGGTCAAGACCATCAATTGTGGTGGTGCCACACTTGTGTATGGGTTCCACATTTCTAGAGTGTGCCGAGGGTTTGCACTTTAGCGCTTTTCATTTTATAAATCTTTATGGGTAAAAAAATCATCTGCCAGTATTTTGTAATGCATTCTTGTCAAAGGAGTATGTGTAGTAAATAATTTGCCAGTATTAGTGTAAATGCATTCTTCTCCAGTTTGTCAAAGATGTCATGTTTACTGCCATATTATTGTAGCTACATAATACTGTGTGCATCTTGAAGTGAATCACCCTTAGCTTGCCGAGAATTATTACCGTGCCATCTCGGGTACAGGAGTGAACCCCACTGGACTCTACCAAGAGTGTCTGCAGCTACTTCTGGAGACCAGAGTGGTCGATCTGGACATTGTGGACACAGTATACGGCAGAACTGCTGCTCACTGGGCCGTCTACTATAAGAGACATGATCTCCTCCTCCAGCTAATGTCTGCCGGTAATATCCCCTTTCGTGCTCTGCAGCTTTTAAAGCTATAATGATCCTGTGTGTTGTTGGCAGACAATAACTAGAGAAGTTTTCTTCAAGGGGGAAAAGTTAAAGCTTCGTCTAGCTAATGTGATAGAATGTAGGAAATCATCTTGTACAGTCGCAATTATTTGTTGTTCCTTCAATTACCTAACTTAAAAATAACATCATTGAGAAAAGGGTGAATGTATGTATGTAGAAACCTCTTTTAGCTAATCTGTGTGCATCAAGGAGGTTGTTTTGCTCAGATGCCAACATGACAACCCCAGACTTTACTGGAATGTCTCCGTTCCACCTGGCCATCTCAGAGAGGGCACACCTCTGTCTGGAACAGGCCATCAGGTCTAGATTTTCATCCTCTGCATTTGACCATGATGTAATTGTGATGTAATGCCTTCCTCATAGAAATCAGCCACGGGAGATATTAGAGCATCCAGATACTAATGGAAACTCACCATTGGAGCAAGCCATACAGGTATTGTACAGAGAATAAACTTAAGTAAAAGAGAGGAAAAATTTTCTTTTGCTTTGTAATCGACTAAGCAAAATATTTTGTTGTTTCCATGGGATTCTTGTACTACAGATGGGGAACATTGATGCGTGCAAGATATTGGTTGAGGCTGGGGCTTCAGTCAATGCAACTGACCAAATAACAGGTAAGATCAAAACACATTCACTCGTTTTAACTGTAGGGGCCTTTATTCAACTTTCTCTCCATCTCTTTCCCTTGTCTCCCTTACTTTCTCTCCTTTGCTTCTTTCTTGTGCATTTTCCATCTCCCTCCCTTTTTCCTCTTCATCCCTTCATATTATACCCACAGGCCAGTCTCCACTGCACATTGCAGCCAGGAATGCCAGTGTTGCAAATAATTGAGCTTCTGCTGCTGCACGATGCGGTCCTCGACCTGAACGATGTGGAGGGGATGACCCCTATTCATTTAGCTAGTGTGGCAGGCTCGAGAGAGTCCCTGGGCAGTCATGGTAAAACGGGCAGGAGACGCGGTGCTATCTCTGCCCAACTCCATCAGTGGGATGACTCCTCTCATGTACGCCTGTCTCTATGGCCACGACTCCTTGACCAAGTACTTTGTGAAAAAGAAGGTGTGTGCGTGTAGCTCCAAATGACTGTTTCACAATCATTCACTTTGAAAGTTTGATTAAATATAATATAAACTCCGTTTTTTTAACATTTAAATAATCTTTCAATAGGTGAACGGGGGTGATCGAGACGTGGAAGGGAAGACAGCTCTGCACTGGGCAGCTCAGTGTACTCAGGTGAATATTACATGGCACTTATAAAGGCAATACTTTTGCCATCTATGTATGTAGGATGGAGGCAGTAGCTGTGTTCAGATGTTACTCAAGAAGCACAAAGACCTCATTGAAGCAAAGGTAGACATTCACACAGAGTTTAGCGAATGATTTAAACACTCTTACATCGATCCCTCAGGACACTTATGGGCTAACTCCCCTACACTGTGCTGCCATGGCAGGTCAAATAGACTCTATGAATAGCCTTCTCTCTGCTGGTATGTGGTGCTAATCCTATAAACATTAGACATTGATATGTGTTGTATTAGGAGCTGATATCAGTGCTGTGGACAGTGACAACCACACAGTGGGTCACTGGGCAACTTGTAAGCCAACAATGTGTCTCCTCTCCTCTCACTTTTCTCCCATTACAAAAACAACCCTATAGTCACAGTGTGTGTTGTCCTTGTGTGTGTGTGTGCTGAGTATTACAAATGTGAGAGTAGATAACCAAAGTCCCTTTTCCCTCACACTCTGTAGTGAGTGGTCAGCCAGAGGCAGTGGAGGCAGTGCTGGCTGGAGGAGGATCTATCACCACCCCGGACTCACAGGGTGGCTACCCTCTCCACTACGCTGCTCAGGGATCAAACGCCCCACTACCTGATGATGAAGGTCTGGATATTGTAATGCAGAGGAAACTGAGTTGAGTGCATAGTTAGTAATGAAGTGTTCTGGTTTTAAACACTTGGGGTAAGAAACACCGATAATCCAATCATTGAATTAACAACTCTTCTTTGCATGCACTGGTGGTTCGTCGTCTTAAAAAACAGCCTTTGATTGGTAGTATACTTGTGTTTGTGTCCATGCAGGCTACACAGATGAGGCCCACCTCCACAGTCTCAACATGCAGGAGTGTCTCAGACTCATTCTGGAGCGAGGTGGTGACGTGGACTGCCGCGATTCTCAGGGAATGACTCCGCTCCAATGGGCCCTCCAGTTCCCCAGTTAGTCCACCACACTGTCATAACAGACACCAGGTTGACTTGGCAACTTATATAAAGTCAGAAGAATGTCATTAATGAACCCCAGGAGAAATGAATTTGCACATGACACTAGTAGTTGTTCTACTGTATCTCATACTCCATGTAGCAATACCCAAACGTATCACAACCCCACTGTTTGTCTGCTCTTCCTCTTGCCTCTCCCTCTCATTCTCCAAGACAACCTGAGTGCTTGCTCCATACTACTGAGCAGTGGAGCAGACCCAAAGGCAAAAGACAACGATGGACTGACAGGTTCCAGGCACACAGATTATACTAATGGTGAACTGCATGTTGGATTGGTGTGTCTGCAGGACTGCATGTGGCTGCTCAGAGTGGACTGACTCACAACTGTCGCTACATCATTGAGCACACTGGTGGATCCATCGCCAAGGAACTGGACAGTCAGGTCTGTTGGTTCTTACAATACATAGCTTAGGAAATGAGAGAGGGAGATGAAGAGGGGATTAATTTAGAGAGAGAATAGAGATGAGAGAAGGAAGGTTGGAGGTGTTAATGCCTGCAGGGTCAGAGTGCACTGTTTTCAGCGGTGGAGAGTGGTCAGTTGGAGTGTGTGGAGTATCTACTCCAAATCAACCTCTCCCCCACAGCAATTAACAATGAAGGTCGAAGGTGAGCATTGTTCTTATTCACCACTAGAAAGTAGCTGAAATGTATTTACTAACACACACACACACTAGTCCAGCCCATGTGGCATCGACCATGGGGTTCACAGAGTGCATCAAGCTGCTGCAGGCCTACAGAGCTGATATACACACTCGCAGTATCCACGGAGCCACCTCCATGCATGAGGCTGCTGCCAATGGACACACTGGTCTGACTGTTCCTATCCTTTCTCTATACTTTGCACCGCATCATTGACTTATAATAGGGAGAAACAGGAGATAGAAATCTCTCACATATATCTTGTTTCAGAGCCCATTCGGAAGAACCATTTGGTGCTTAAAACAGTTCCCTCTGCAAATTATGAGTGTTAAGTATGATTTCTCCCCCTTCAAATGTTATTACGAAAGAACTATAAACCGTTTCAGTACTCTTCATCTGTTCGGTGTCTGTCGTTCTGTTAATAGTTTTTAACGTTCATCATTCAATCCATCATCTCCACATACTGCTGCTGTATATATACACAGAGAGTCTGGAGTTTCTGCTGGCGTGTGGTATATCTCCGGATGACCCAGCAGGCGACTCAGGGGCCACTGCCCTGCACTACGCTGCCACTGGTACCCACGGACACTGCGTTCACACTCTCCTCAAGTACGGAGCCAACATCAATGCAGTGTCAACTTCTGAGGTGGAGTTGTAGTAACGTCTTAAGAGTGTCCTACTATTACAGCCTCAGAATAATGCACATGTTAGGACCAGCATTTTGTCCTTCATTGGGAGGTTGTCCCGTCTTTGAAGTTGAAAATTTACAATAGAAAGGTCAACGTTTGGAAACCCAGTTTGTCTGCTATACTCAGAGCGATCAGGGGGTTCTACTGTACGATAACTGCAGGATTCACTCGTAACATTCTAATAGCAAACTTTCAACTTTATACACGACCGGAGTACGTATTGTAACTGTCTTTGTTGTCTGGTGTGCAGGGAGAGAAGCTGACTCCACTGGACTACTGTACTGACTACCCTGACCTGGCCAACTACCTGCGGAGCCATGGAGCTCTGACTGGAGTCGAAATATTCCCTCCTGAGGTGTGTCACTATATGAAGATAGGTAGCTACTCTGTTCGGAATATCGAATTCTATTAGAGCTCTCTTGAGCACCTGTAATAGCATGCTCACATATACTTCCCAACTAAACTACGACACCTACTTAATTCTTGCATTTTACATGATGGCATAAAACCGTGGCGTTGGGCTGTGGCATTGAAAACCGGTACCTTTATCATGGCCTTTTGATCCGCATGAATCATTCCGTGCAACAAAAAGGTAGACATTTGGCTATTTGATATAGGAAGAAGCTGCTTCGACAGAGGAGGAAAAGGAGGGCGGGAGAAGCAGACAAACAACCTATGGAGTCTGGTGATGTCATCTGGTGACCAATCAGAACAAGGAGAGGGGACTAGCGGCATTATTGCAGAAAAGGAGGAGAGAGAGAGGGAAGGAGAGGGGGAGGGGGTGAGGGTAAGAAGGGGCAGTCGTCCAGCCACAGCTGACAGAAAGTCTCTGAAGTGGGAGGAGGTTGGAGGAGACAGAGAGGGAGAGGAGAGAGAGGAGAGAGAAGGGGTAAAGATGAGGAGACTGAGTCTCACAACAGCAGAAGGATCTGGATCTGGGGTGAGACAAAAAAACTCACAGTGTTTTGCATTACAGAAACAGGGCCCCAATTTCCTGCACACTGTAACTGGAAATACATTATTCAGAGTAATAATCTGCCCTGTCCTCATGCCCACCTTTGTACTAAAAGTACGAAAAGTTTAGGCCAACCTATTTTCTACGATAACTTGCACCGCACATTAATTACCATTGTAGCTGAAGAGAACCAGATTGAGCTATACTGGAATCCTATGTAGTGTACTGAGACCTAACACAGAATCTGCTTGAAATGCTTATTTGCCCTAGCAACCCTTTCCCCCCACTCTAGTTCCTAATCATCTTCATCCCTATTCATACACCACCAATCTCTCTCCATACAGATGTCGGGAACACCTCGGCTCCTGGAGAGAGCTCTTAGTGTTCTGAGGAGAAACAGATCTCCCCCTCCGCCCACCTCCATACTCAGCAGTGCCGTCGGATTCTATGCCGCTCACGCTACCATACTAGCCGCTACTATCATTGGTTGGTACTAAGATAACTTGCTGGCGAGATAATGTTAGCAGTTACACTCAAACACAGAGTCGGTCACAATCGTATAGGTACTAGCCGCTACCATCACTGGTTGGAACACACTAATACCATGACTTGCTAGCGAGAGAACTCGAGTATGTAATTTCAGTAGTTTCACACAAACATGTTGCTGTGCTGGCCACAAACATAGTGTGATGGCCGGGTAGGCCTTCCTCACTCACCAATACAGAAACCTTTTGGAAAACTTCTTTCAATTAAGATACTAGAACAAAATGCATCACGGCAAGAGAACACGAGTACAGTTGCAATTTCTTCACATGTGCATTCAAAATCACGTAAAGTGTATTACATTATGTGCAGTGCCCTTCAGAAATCCACATTGAGATGACTACTGTCTCAGGCTCACTTTGCTCTCAATGATCCAATTTGGACCATCCTAAAAAACGATTACTTGTTGTCTCTTGTATAGGTACATCTGTGGGGTCAAAGGTGACTAAAGTGGCCGAAAAGGGTTGCCACGGATACAGCGGAGGATCTGAGGAAGGCAGCCGGTTCATTTGAAGGTGTAATACCAGGTAAACCACATCACAGTCTGTTATTTCCCACATATGTAGCGAAATGCTCTTTCTTGGGTAAAGGTCTCTTGTATACCACTTTAAAATTGGATTTAGATTTGTGATATGAATAAGTGAAACTGCACAATCTCTCTCTCTCTCTCTCGCCCAGATCTGGTGTGGCTGCGGGAGTCTGAGCCTCCTCCAAGACCACCAGCTCTGGTGATAAAGGTGAGGAGCCATCTCCGGCTCCCTCCCTGTCCCCTCCCTGTCCCCTCACTGAAGATTGAGTATGGACCTCATCGAGAGACGCATGAGGATGGCCAAAGGTGCGTCTTTGAACTAGCTCTCTCGTTCCAACGTCCTACTGTACACCTAGTGCCCACAAAAAGGTGTGTCTTTCCCTATCTTTTGCCCTTATCTCCCTCCCACCGTTCCTTCTTCCCCCTATCCCACTTTGCTTTTCTCCAACTGTAACAACATTCTCACCTTTATATATTGCACACGAACGTACTAACCACCTGAAAGATTTACCCTTCAATATAATGAGTATGGTCGACATATTCTATCCTCACATGTATCCAGCTCAAATGGGCATGAGTAAGAGTACAGGGTACAGAGCAGTAGAGGAGCTGCTAAAGGCTCAGAGCACACAGGCAGCTCTGAGGAGACAGTTTGAGGAGGCCAGGCTCTCTGAGATGACACTGGTCCAGAGAGAGGTGAGACACAAGACAGTAGGAAGAGTGTTGCCTTGAGAAAGGCTTGCTATGGATAGTATATACAGCTATGTGGAACACGGGTCGAGAAAATGAATTCCAAACTCCATGCAGGCATTTGCAGCTGAGGAGGTGAAGAAAAAGGAAGCAGCAGATGCTATTGTGAGGAAACTGAACGGGAGAATCAGACGGGCTGACAATGAATCAGAGGTAATGATGACCTCAGTCAAAGTGTAATATTATTTCCCCTCTTGCCAAGAAGTTGTACCATCATCATACATAGTACGTATTTCATTCCTACTAAAAGAAAAGCACCCATTTTTCTGAAAATGCCTGCACTAAATTGAAGCCTATTACGTTCAACTGAGCACCTTAAATTGTTGGTTGTATGCATCCATAAGCAAAACTCAACTTTCGCAAATCAAGCTTCCAAACCAGGGTTTGTCTTCTTTTAACCACACCAGCAAGTGCATGAGGCTCTGGACCAGATGTTGGCAGCAGCTAGAGCAGAGAACGAGAGGATGAGGGAGACGATGGGAGAGATGGGAGTGAGTCCGCGACCCACCGTGGCCCAGTGGCTCAGGGGGAAACAGGAGCAGAGGAAGAGAGCCATGCAGGATGCCCTCATCAACTGGGACAGGTCACTGCTTGGGAGAACGCCTTTTCTAAACATCTGGGAGTGCAAATATGATAACAAATTTCGTACACAACAGCGCAAAACTTTCAATCTCTTGCCTAAGATTTGTGATTGGGAAGAGTGTTTTCTTTATTGCCTTCACACAAACAGTTTTAGCTGGAGAACCACAAGTTGTAGTGTTTGCAGTGTTTCCTCTAAAAGGACAACCTATAATGAGGAACTCCCTCCACTTTTCAAACAAGTTCTTGCATGCACTTTAAGAAAATAAGGACACCTTTGTCTATCTCATTAGTGTTTGGATTGGAGGGGTTCTACCAAATCAAAATATCCTCCCCGTCCCCACTGCAGGAGCAAGCCGCAGAGGGAGACGGCTATTCTGATCCAGCAGATGCTGACCTCCCAGAGAGCCATGAAACACGCTGCCTGGGGTGCCAGCAAAGACATCTCTGGCAGAATCAGAGCCTTGAAACAAGAAGGTAACCACTGCCCAACCATTCCTATATACCAGCGAACCTTCAACCAAAATCTTTCTACTATTTAACCCCTTAATTCTTACCTTTTGATTGGTTTAACTAACCCGTGTTTGGTAACTGAATCTGAATGTACTATGTAACGTACATTCTAAACATCATTGCATAAGGTGGGCTCTCTTTGCTCTAACTACTGCACCAATAACTACCGTTTCACTCATTTTGTAAAAATTATACGTCATTATGTCCCCCAGACAATCATTTCTCTGTATATTATTATAGAGCTATTAGGAGTTGGTAGTGTTGGTTACCGTGACGGCACCACGAGAAAACTGTTTCCTCTTCGTCCACCGACAAAGAGAGACGGTCAATCAGTACAGGGACCTCCCCCTCGGAGGAATCGCCCGCCGTCCATCCCAGTACGAGAGAAGAAACCATTCACCACCAAAAGTGAGTGTCGACTACTGCAGCTTCATATGGACACCTTCGGTAATAGATAAGATCAACTGTGACGTTGCTATATATAGAACCTAAAGTATGGACGACAGTTTAGAACCTGACAGTATAAAGTATAGACGTCTACTTTAAAACTGCGTAACTTTAGTAAGTGGACTCACTACATTTGATTATAATAGTCTTGTTCCTGCGTGACAGGTGTGGGGTCCTCAGAGAGCTCGGTGAGGGCCACTCCTCACGGGTTCCTCAAGATCAGGGACACCAGTGGCTCTGACACCAGATCCCCACCTCATAATCATCGTCGTCATCAGCAGCAGCAGAGTACAGCAGGGGACATGTGGAGCGTGGGACATGGCTATGGTGAGCTCCAACTTCTCTCTCTCATGCTCACCTTCTTGTACAGGTCTAATACCTTCATGTGTTGTTTGTGGACGGCGACTTGGGTTCTTTCTCTTCTTTCTTGTTTTAGTAGCTATGCTAGACACAATCATGTTCTTTCGTGTTGGGCGGGAATGTTTTTGAATGAGAACTTTCGAACACGTGGATCGTCTGCCCAAAATGACAAAATTGCTGCAAAGATGATCCTCAACCTCAATATTTCTACGATTTGCTCTCCAAACTTCTCCCTAAATTCAACTGCAAGAGACACACCCACTCCCTAAATGCTTGCTTTACTAGTTTGAGCATTTTAAATGTTAAATACATTCTCTCTCTCTTGTTAATGCACACACACACACACACACGCAGCCCAAGGCTCTCCACCGAGGAGCTCCACCGCGGCCTATGTCAGAGCCACTGGCCCCAAGACACTCCACGCTCCTCGCACCCTTCACTTCCTCCCCCCACACCAGTACAGAGCCCTCAAGGAGCAAGAGAAAGCTCAGAGAGTTTCACTGGGAAGAGAACTAGCAATGGGTGGGGGCGAGGCAGGGAAGGAGGGAGGGAGGGGGTCTTTCCTAGCGATGAGAAGTCTAGAGTTTGGAGGTAGCAGGGAGGTGAAAGGTGGGGAGAGGGAGAGGCGGGCTTCATTTGGAAACACTACGACTCGATACCACTCACTGGCCGATGGTTTGAGTGGACAGAGCCAGTTGCCAAGGAAACGGGCATTGTCAGTAGAGATTCCGGTGCTCCAAATGAACATTCTTCAATCTGCCCCTTTGACACCATCTCCTGTTAACTGTTGACATTAATAATGATTTGGTTTGCTTAGAGACGTTTATATCTGTGTAATCTCATTTCTATATATATATATATAGTAAACCAGAGAATTTGGAAGACAGCTATTATTACTATTATTACAGCTATTTACCTTACGTGGATAATCCTTATATACCATTATCTACAACTTCCTGAACTCTTTGTGAATTATTATCATACAACGGAACCTGCGTAAAACAAAACTCCGGTATTGAATGCAACGGTGAAGGCTCTAACAAAGGACGAATTCTTCTGTCCACTGAACATCAACTAAAGCCTATTGACAACAGGATGACGCGACTTTTCAACTCAAAGCGGATGCCCGATAACTACCGCACATGCGCAGTCCCGATATCGCGATTATGGATTTCTGCCAACACCACAACTGTTTCTGCAGTCTCTGGGTATAAAAAGGGTGCAGAAAAAGCCTGTAGTATCGCTTCTCGGCCTATAGGCTAAGATCAAGTAGAAATAACTGTTCTTACCAGTGTAATATCTGGTACGCGGGCACTGCCCGCTCGATATTACATCAATTTTTTTCTCTCGGAAGGTGGACCGAAGCTTGCTTCGCCCCTTCCACGGGTTGCCCCAGTATTGCACTACAGCTGGGTGCGGCCCATCCCCCTCGGGGGAACATTCTATAATCCAAAGTCAAAATGTGTGTGAGAGATGAACCATGCACTCGGTCTATTAGCGCTTATACGCGGTTGCATTAGCACCCGCCCATAGATAACCGCAGAGTCCTTTGGGACATGACAGGCTTATATGGGGTGGTATTCGTGTCAGTATTGAAACGTCGATTTTGCCGAGGCATTTCCGTTTTGCCGCGGCAATTGCCCCGGCAAAACCTGGGCCGAAAAATCCGGGACATTTGCCGCGGCAAGAATAACTAGCTGGGCCATGTTCAATCGTGTCAGTATTCTTGTCGTTGCCGGGCCTTTTGCCGCGGCAAAAGTGCTCTTGCCTGGGCAATTGCCGCGGCAAATGGAAATTCGCCGAGGCAAGAGCACTTTTGCCGCGGCAAAAGGCCCGGCAACGACAAGAATACTGACACGATTGAACATGGCCCAGCTAGTTATTCTTGCCGCGGCAAATGTCCCGGATTTTTCGGCCCAGGTTTTGCCGGGGCAATTGCCGCGGCAGTTTAATTTTGCCGCGGCAAACCGCAAATGCCTCGGCAAAATCGACGTTTGAATACTGACACGAATACCACCCCATAGGCTTAGATCCTAGGCATTTCACACCCTTTCATGACGTGTAAACATAGTTGAATGAGGTCCCACTGGTTGGAAGACAAATGTGTGTGATACACAAGTAACAATAATGTGATGCCAAGAGAAAAAGATGTGGAGCTCTGGACAGCTGTTTCGGGCTTGTTGGCCCTCATCAGCAAAGCATACCTCAACTTCTGTACACCTGCTCTATTAGCACAGATACGTGGTTGAATTAGCACCCACACATAAATGACCACGAAATTATTTGGGACATGACAAGTTTAGAGCCTAAGTATTTCACACCCTTTCATGACATGTAAACATTGTCCATTGATGTCCCATTGGTTTGGAGGACATGTGGAGTTCAGTAACATTTTGCATTTTGACTGCTTAGTGCAACGACCGCGCCCTCTTTTAAACAATAAATCACACATCATTTACAATTACCATCTCCTGTTAACTGTTGACATTAACGTGATGATTTGGTTTGCTTAGAGACGTATATATCTGTGTATCTCATTCTAGTAAACCAGAGAATTTGGAAGACAGCTATATTATATAATTATACTGAAGTGCAAACCCTCGGCGAACTTCGCAAGCGCGATACCTCTAATTGATGGGCTGGGCCGTAGTATATATATATGCGTGGTCTCCCGCTCTCGCGGAGAGTCTAGCTATATACAGTAGTAGAAAGCATGCGGGAGTCGATACACTCCCTCCGTTCTACTCTATCTTGCTTCTATTTCGCTGTCCCTGAACACCTCCCATCAATAAGGGTATTGACGGTTTTGCATTTTTTTGCAGGAACGCAAGTGCACGAAATGACAAACCAAACATCCCAAAAACTTGCCAATAGCTGAGGGTGGATTAGCATTATGTCTCACTCTATTAATATATATCCCAATACGTTCCCCCGTAGTGTCCCTCTGCAGTGGTACCAGTGTGCCTACCTCTCCTGTCTCCACGACCACAGCCCCACCCACATGGCACAAGTGACTCTGAGAAAACAGTGTACAACGCTCAAAGTGCATGGAGGAGACTTCCATGAGCATGTCCACAACATCTACTCTTCCCCAACCACAGAGTGGTGGTGATCCCTAGGCCAGGACGTATTGCTAGCCCCGGTTTTGTGTATCTGTGTTTGTAGATATCAAGTGAAGCCCCAGCAGCCTCTGAGAAGAAGAGGAAGAGAAAAGAAGTGTGGAGAGGCTTCTCACACTCTTGTTCTCTTCCTTTTTCTATAAGCGTGAGCTGTATTTTACTGCAGTACATAAGGTAAACTGGGGGTAACTCCGGAACATGCGTTGCACCAGCCCCTCGAAAATTATTCGCTGAGAAAAAACGCGAGGAAGAATTTGTTAGCGCTTTGGTAGATAGAATCAAGTGAATATATCGAATCTTTCTCTCGTTTCTGAATAGCGAGTTAATGTCCGGGTATTAACCCCGTGTCCGAAGTACCCCATTACCTTACGGATGCCTTATATACCATTCTCTACAACTTCCTGAACTCTTTGTGAATTATATCATACAACGGACCTGCGTAAACAAACCCGGTATTGATGCATGCAACGGTGAGGCTCTAACAAGACGATTCTTCTGTCCACTGAACATCAACTAAAGCCTATTGACACAGGATGACGCGACCTTCAACTCAAGCGGATGCCCGATAACTACCGCGCATGCGCAGTCCCCGATATCGCGATTATCGAACGTATCCTGTTTCTATGGATTTCTGCCAACACCACAACTGTTTCTGCAGTCTCTTGGGTATAAAAGGGTGCAGAAAAAGCCTGTAGTATCGCTTCTCGCGCCTATAGGCTAGATCAAGTAGAATACTGTTTCTTACCAGTGTAATATCTGGTACGCGGGCACTTGCCCGCTCGATATTACATCATTTTTTTTCTTCGGAAGGTGGACCGAAGCTTGCTTCGCCCCTTCCCACGGGTTGCCCCGTATGGCACTACAGCTGGGTGCGGCGCCCATCTGGGGGAACATTCCATAATCCAAGTCAATGTGTGTGAGAGATAACACTCGGTCTATTAGCGCAGATACGCGGTTGCATTAGCACCCGCCCATAGATAACCGCAGAGTTCTGTGGACATGACAGCTTAGATCCTAGGCATTTCACCACCCTTTCATGACGTGTAAACATAGTTGAATGAGGTCCCACTGGTTTGGAAGACAATGTGTGTGATACACATGTAACAATAATGTGATCCAAGAGAAAAAAGAAGTGGAGCTCTGGACAGCTGTTTCGGGCTTGTTGGCCCTCATCAGCAGAGCATACTCAACTTCTGTACCCTGCCTATTAGCACAATACGTGGTTGAATTAGCACCCACACATAATGACTACGAATTATTTGGGACATGACAGTTTAGATCCTAGTATTTCACACCCTTCATGACTGTAACATTGTCCATTGATGTCCCATTGGTTTCGAAACATGTGAGTTCAGTAACATTTTGACTGCTTAGTGCAACGGACCGCGCCCTCTTTTAAACAATAAATCACACACATCATTTACATTTGTTCAAAAATGGTGCATATTATTATGAATATTTTGTGCAAGAAATGTTTGTGAATGTATCTATATTAATTATCTCATAGTGTCAAAAGGTTAATAGAGTTTTTTTTGTGTTGCTATAGTAGAGGGTGAGGTACACGGGGGTTCTGGCTCCCAGGTGATGGGGGTCCTGGGAGGGGGTAGTGAATTTGGCGATGACCCCATGAGGGGCGGGGGGAATAGCTATGTGAGCTCCAACTTCTCTCTCTCAATGCTCACCTTCCTGTACATGTGTTTGTTTGTTCTTGGTGGATAGCGACTTGGTTCTTTCTTGTTTTAGTAGTATGGTATACACAATCATGTTCTTTCGTGTTGGGGGATGTTTTTGAGGGAGAACTTTCAAAGACGTGGATCGTCAGCCCAAAATGACAAAAGTTCTGCAAAGATGATCCTCAACCTCAATAATATTCCTACAATTTGCTCTCCAAACTTCTCCCTACATTCAACTGCAAGAGGCACACCCGCCGCTCCCTAAATGCTTGCTTTTGCTAGTTTTATGGCATGTTAAATACATTCCCTTTCTCGTCAATGCACACACACAGGCCAAGGCTCCACCGCGGCCTATGTCAGAGCCACTGGCCCCAAGACACTCCACGCTCCTCGCACCCTTCACTTCCTCCCCCCACACCAGTACAGAGCCCTCAAGGAGCAAGAGAAAGCTCAGAGAGTTTCACTGGGAAGAGAACTAGCAATGGGTGGGGGGGGAGGGAGGAGGGGTCTTTCTAGCGATGAGAAGTCTAGAGTTTGGAGGTAGCAGGGAGGTGAAAGGTGGGGAGAGGCGGGCTTCATTTGGAAACACTACGACTCGATACCACTCACTGGCCGATGGTTTGAGTGGACAGAGCCAGTTGCCAAGGAAACGGGCATTGTCAGTAGAGATTCCGGTGCTCCAAATGAACATTCTTCAATCTGCCCCTTTGACACCATCTCCTGTTAACTGTTGACATTAACGTGATGATTTGGTTTGCTTAGAGACGTATATATCTGTGTAATCTCATTTCTAGTAAACCAGAGAATTTGGAAGACAGCTATATTATATAATTATACTGAAGTGCAAACCCTCGGCGAACTGCGCAAGCGCGATACCTCTAATTGATGGGCTGGGCCGTAGTATATATGCGTGGTCTCCCGCTCTCGCGGAGAGTCTAGCTATATACAGTAGTAGAAAGCATGCGGGAGTCGATACACTCCCTCCGTTCAGACTTGAGGCCCTATTTTACTCTATCTTGCTTCTATTTCGCTGTCCCTGAACACCTCCCATCAATAAGGGTATTGACGGTTTTGCATTTTTTTGCAGGAACGCAAGTGAACGAAATGACAAACCAAACATCCCAAAAACTTGCCATTAGCTGGAGGGTGGATTAGCAATTATGTCTCACTCTATAATATATATACGTATCCCAGTTTCATTACCGTTCCCTCCCTTCTCCTATACCAACAGTGCATGGAGAGAAAGACAAACGTCATGGGGAATGGTCCTACAGACATCTACTCTTCCCCAACCACAGAGTGGTGGTGATCCCTAGGCCAGGACATATGCTAGCCCTCGGTTTGTAGCTATCTGTGTTTGTAGATATCAAGTGAAGCCCCAGCAGCCCTTCTGAGAAGAAAGAAGGAAGAGAAAGAAGTGTGAGAAGGCTTCTCACACTTCTTTTCTCTTCCTTGCTGTTATTTTACATGCAGCACATAAGGTAAATGGGGGTAACTCCGGACATGGGGCGTTGCACCAGCCTCGAAATTATTCGCTGAGAAAAAAACGCGAGGAAGATTTGTTAGCGCTTTGGTAGGTAGTAATCAAGTGAAATATATCCGAATCTTTCTCTCGTTTCTGAATAGCGAGTTATGTCCGGGTATTACCCCGTGTCCGAAGTTACCCCCATTTACCTTACGTGGATAATCCTTATATACCATTCTCTACAACTTCCTGAACTCTTTGTGAATTATTATCATACAACGGAACCTGCGTATAACAAAACTCCGGTATTGAATGCAACGGTGAAGGCTCTAACAAAGGACGAATTCTTCTGTCCACTGAACATCAACTAAAGCCTATTGACAACAGGATGACGCGACTTTTCAACTCAAAGCGGATGCCCGATAACTACCGCGCATGCGCAGTCCCGATATCGCGATTATCGAACGATATCCTGTTTCTATGGATTTCTGCCAACACCACAACTGTTTCTGCAGTCTCTGGGTATAAAAAGGGTGCAGAAAAAGCCTGTAGTATCGCTTCTCGGCCTATAGGCTAAGATCAAGTAGAAATAACTGTTCTTACCAGTGTAATATCTGGTACGCGGGCACTGCCCGCTCGATATTACATCAATTTTTTTTCTCTCGGAAGGTGGACCGAAGCTTGCTTCGCCCCTTCCACGGGTTGCCCCAGTATTGCACTACAGCTGGGTGCGGCCCATCCCCCTCGGGGGAACATTTTATAATCCAAAGTCAAAATGTGTGTGAGAGATGAACCATGCACTCGGTCTATTAGCGCTGATACGCGGTTGCATTAGCACCCGCCCATAGATAACCGCAGAGTTCTTTGGGACATGACAGGCTTAGATCCTAGGCATTTCACACCCTTTCATGACGTGTAAACATAGTTGAATGAGGTCCCACTGGTTGGAAGACAAATGTGTGTGATACACATGTAACAATAATGTGATGCCAAGAGAAAAAAGATGTGGAGCTCTGGACAGCTGTTTCGGGCTTGTTGGCCCTCATCAGCAAAGCATACCTCAACTTCTGTACACCTGCTCTATTAGCACAGATACGTGGTTGAATTAGCACCCACACATAAATGACCACAAATTATTTGGGACATGACAGGGTTAGATCCTAGGTATTTCACACCCTTTCATGACATGTAAACATTGTCCATTGATGTCCCATTGGTTTGGAGGACATGTGGAGTTCAGTAACATTTTGACTGCTTAGTGCAACGACCGCGCCCTCTTTTAAACAATAAATCACACATCATTTACAATTTGTTTCAAAAATGGTGCATATTATTATGAATATTTTGTGCAAGAAATGTTTGTGAATGTATCTATATTAATTATCTAAAATAGTGTCAAAAAGGTTAATAAGAGTTTTTTTGTGTTGCTATAGTTGAGGGTGAGGTCCACGGGGGTTTCTGGCTCCCAGGTGATGGGGGTCCTGGGAGGGGTAGTGAATTTGGCGATGACCCCCAGGAGGGGGCGGGGGGACATAGCTATGGTGAGCTCCAACTTCTCTCTCTCATGCTCACCTTCCTGTACATGTGTTGTTTGTTCTTGGGTGGATAGCGACTTGGTTCTTTCTTGTTTTAGTAGCTATGCTAGACACAATCATGTTCTTTCGTGTTGGGGAATGTTTTTGAGGGAGAACTTTCAAAGATGTGGATCGTCAGCCCAAAATGACAAAATTGCTGCAAAGATGATCCTCAACCTCAATAATATTCCTACGATTTGTTCTCCAAACTTCTTTCTAAATGCAAGAGACACACCCACTCCCTAAATGCTTGCTTTTGCTAGTTTTATGGCATGTTAAATACATTCCCTTTCTCGTTAATGCACACACACAGGCCAAGGCTCCACCGCGGCCTATGTCAGAGCCACTGGCCCCAAGACACTCCACGCTCCTCGCACCCTTCACTTCCTCCCCCCACACCAGTACAGAGCCCTCAAGGAGCAAGAGAAAGCTCAGAGAGTTTCACTGGGAAGAGAACTAGCAATGGGTGGGGGTGAGGCAGGGAAGGAGGGAGGGAGGAGGGGGTCTTTTCTAGCGATGAGAAGTCTAGAGTTTGGAGGTAGCAGGGAGGTGAAAGGTGGGGAGAGGCGGGCTTCATTTGGAAACACTACGACTCGATACCACTCACTGGCCGATGGTTTGAGTGGACAGAGCCAGTTGCCAAGGAAACGGGCATTGTCAGTAGAGATTCCGGTGCTCCAAATGAACATTCTTCAATCTGCCCCTTTGACACCATCTCCTGTTAACTGTTGACATTAACGTAATGATTTGGTTTGCTTAGAGACGTTTATATCTGTAATCTCATTTCTATTATAGTAAACCAGAGAATTTGGAAGACAGCTATTATTATACTGAAGTGCAAACCCTCCGCGAACTGCGCAAGCGCGATACCGCTAATTGAGCTCAAATTGATGGGCTGGGCCCCCGTGGTCTTCCATTAGTAGCTCGCGGAGAGTCTGACACGGCCGGGCTAGCTACAGTAGTAGAAAGCGTGCGGGAGTCGATACACTCCCTCCGTTGAGACTTGAGGCCCTATTTTACTCTATCTTGCTTCTATTTCGCTGTCCCTGAACACCTTCAATAAGAGTATTGACGGTTTTGCATTTTTTGCAGGAACGCAAGTGAACGAAATGACAAACCAAACATCCCAAAAACTTGCCAATAGCTGGAGGGTGGATTAGCAATATGTCTCACTCTATAATAATACGTATCCCAGTCTTATTTCATCCCTTCTCCTATACCAACAGCAGTAGTCTATGGAGAGATAGACAAACGTCATGGGGAATGGTCCTACAGACATCTGAACCTCTTCCCCAACCACAGAGTGGTAGTGATCCCCTAGAGCAGGACATGCAGCACATAGCTACATGGATAATCCTTCTCTGGGGCAAACGTATATATAATACCATTCTCTACAACTGGCCTGAACTCTCCCTGCGTATAACAATAATGAACGAACTCCGGTATTGAATGCAACGGTGAAGGCTCTAACAAAGGACGAATTCTTCCTATTGACGACAGGGATCTGACGCGCGGATGCCCGATAACTACCGCGCATGCGTTGCGCATGCGCAGTCCCGATATCGCGATTATCGAACGATATCCTGTTTCTATGAATATCTGCCAACACCACAACTGTTTCTGCAGTCTCTGGGTATAAAAAGGGCGCAGAAAAAGGCTATAGTATCGCTTCTCGGCCTATAGGCTAAGATCAAGTAGAATAACTGTTCTTACCAGTGTAATATCTGGTACGCGGGCACTGCCCGCTCGATATTACATCAATTTTTTTCTCTCGGAAGGTGACGAAGCTTGCTTCGCCCTTCCACGGGTTGCCCAGTATTGCACTACAGCTGTGTGCGGCCCATCCCCCTCGGGAACATTTTATAACCAAAGTCAAAATGAGTGTGAGAGATGAACCATGCACTCGTCTATTAGCGCTTATACGCGTTGCATTAGCACCCGCCGGAGATAACCGCAGAGTCTTTGGGGCTTAGATGCTAGGCATTTCACACCGTGTAAACATAGTTGAATGACGCCCCATTGGTTTGGAAGACGTGTGGAGTTCATTGTCCCCTAAAAGTTTGATGTTTTGACCTTGTATACATACAACAGTCAGAGGTGTAAATACTAAATCCATCACACATCATTTACAGTATGTATAATTATACGAAGTATTCGAGGTTCTGCATGCAATATATTCAACGTCTAACCTATAATCGTATACCACTTTCACCACGTGAGCGCAAAGTAATTGACAACCCGCCACAACAAGAGACTCAAGGTCCCCACGGACTCCCTCTCAATTCTACCACAGCTCAATCCACACGTTCAAGTCTATAGCCGGCAGCACTCCACCAATCCTGCTGAACCAGGGAATCAAACAGTGTTGTCCCCTCCTCTTCAACAATCGTCCTAGAGAGTTGATCCCCAAGCTTACTACTTTCGACGTGTACCATTTCCAGGGGGGTGGGCCAAGACCTCCTGCCTTGCGTTTGCGACGATCTGTGCCTGATCGATCGACCACACCAGGAAGCCAAGTAAATTGGTCAAACAGCCAATGAATTTTCAGCTGGCAGCCTCTGCCTAGTGTGCCTCTCTCACTAGTTATGTGTGACACCGAAGTGACTAGAGCCTGACAGCCGGACAGCTTGTGAGTGACATTACTTATTATAGCTGGTGTTCCAAACATTAGGCACGACATGCTGAAGTTCAAGATATGTGTGTTATACATGTGTCACCCCTTATTGCACAGGTCTGCCGTTGAATTAGCACCCACACATGAATGACTCACAAAATCTTGTGTACACCCACTCTA